GGCGGGGGGAGCGGGGGGGGTGAGCGGCGGGGGGGGAGCTGCGGGGGGGGAGCGGCGGGGGGGGTGCCCTGAGCCCGTCCCCCTCCCCACTTCAAGGGCCCGGCCCCCACCTCCCCCTGCGGGAAGCCCAGGGGTCGGCTCCAGGTCTCCAGGGTCCGCAGGAAGTTTTCTGACTGGAGGGGCAGACACGTCCCAGCTAAGCCTCTGTCGCTGGACAGCCCCGGGCGCAGACCTCCGCCTGCAACTCCCGCGAGGGTCCCCCCCCATGCACCAGGCGGGGACACACTGCCTGCCCTGAATGGTGGTGACAGAGCCTGCGGCACCAGGCTGGGCGTGAAGCAGGTCCCTCGTCCCCACCCAAAGGCTGGCCGGTCATCCTCACAAATGGTGGAAGGGAGGTCAGACCTGGGTCTCCCCACCCCCAGGACACAGGCCCCCTGCGTGAGACATGTGCGTCCGCATCAGAGCTGGGAGGGTATTAAGAAGTCAACGAAGGGGGGGCTCAGTCGGTTGAGTGTCCGACTTCGGTTCAGGCCACAATCTCGTGCCCCACGTCAGGCTCTGCGGACGGTGCAGAGTCTGTTTCGGATTCTCTCTCTGCCCCTCCCCCACTCATGCTTCCTCCCTCTCAAAATAAACTTAAAAAAACAAACAACGATTGATTACCTCTTCGGAACAAAAGGCGCAGTAGGAGAACAGGGGACCCTCGTGGGAGGGTCACAGGATGTTATTTTATACTAAAACCAGGCCACGCAACGACCACCAATTCCAGATTCAAGCGAACGGTTTCTATGCGCCTGGAAAGGCCTGAGGGACCCAGGCTCCTCCCACCTCCCGCAGGTGCCTGTCGTTTCGTTTCACTCCCTCCTCGGACACCGGTCCTGGATTTGTTTGAACTTCTCCTTCCAGACTGTGCTGCCCTGAAAGTAGCTCCCAGCCACTTTTAGGCCGTTAAACCTGAAGTTTGGCCCAATTACAAGCGCCAATTCCCCCAGGGCGATCGGGGGCTCAGTCGGTTGAGCGGCCAGCTCTTCATTTCCATGCAGGTCCTGATCTCAGGGTTCAGGAGTCTGAGCCCCAGGTCGGGGCGCCGCCAGCCGGGCAGAGCCTGCTTGGGACTCTCTCTGCCCCTCCCTCTGGCTCTCAAAATACATTAAAAAACCCAAGTCCTCCAGCCTCGCGCCGCTGCCTGAGGAGTAGGCCACGGGCACCAGCAGCAGGGCCCCGAGAACGTGCCTGGCGCCCAGGCAGCGGGCAGAACAAACCTCTCGCCAGGATTCATTCCCAAGAATTTGTGGCGGGAGTCCCACCTTCGCGGGGAGACGAGGCCCTTGATGGGAGTGATGCACAGCCACCTTTAGTCCAGTGCCGGACTAAACACAGTGGGAACGTTCTAGACCTGCCCGTCTAACGCAGCTGCCGTGGGCTTCCCGTGGCTACTGAGCCCTTGAAACATGGCTGGAGCCACGTGTTTAACATCCACCCCACTCCCGTGGCTCCCAGAGAAGACAGCGTGGAGCTGGTCTTAGGTCTGTGGCGCCACCGGTGTCCCTGCCTTATTAACGTGCACCCCTCCATGGTGCGCACCGTGAAGCCCCCCCCTCCCCAGTTGTCTGGCCCAAGGAACACTCCCAAATCCTGGGAAAACACGCTGATCCATGAAGAAAGAGCTGATAAAGCAACGCGGTGTCAGTGCCAACTGTGGTCTGTCCTATTTAACAGGAGCTACTGGCATTCCCATTTTGCAGATGAGAAAACAGAGGCCCAGGGAAGCAACGCCAGTTTCCCAAAGCCGGGAGGAACGGGGCCAGGCGGGGTTTACCTGCTTCCATCTCGAGCCCGGTCAGGTAGGCAGATGGCGAGGGAGGGGGCTGGGCAGCGGGACCCCTCTGGTGGCTCTGGCTCCGGAGCGGGGGCTGGCTGGGAGCGGGCAGCCAGGGATGGGCTCCCCAGCTGCGCCTCCCAGCAGCACACACTCAGGGGAGCCTTCCCCATTCGCCCTGGCTCGTTAATGCGCAATTTACTGGCACTTGAGTGCACTCATCATGGAAAGCGCGGCTCCCTGCGCCTGCTAGCGGGCCCTCCCTGGGGAGAGCGAGCCGGCCTGGGCTGCTGCTCACAATTTTACATGCTCGGCCAGGAGGCTGCGAAAACAGGGAGCGGGAGCGAGAGGGGAGAGGACTGGGCGGCCAGCAAGGGTTCTAGGGCCTTCCCCTGGGTGGGTGAGGGGGGTCCTGGCTTGAACAGCAACTCTCTGGGGGCCTCGTGGCCACATCCTTATACGTAGCAAGTGCTGTAAGCCCCCCCAATCCACAATCTGATTGGTTCTCACCCGCACAGCATCTCAGTAACCAGCACCCCACCCAGATGGTCCTGTTCTCCTGCCCCCACGGCCCATCCACCAGAGGGCGCCCGTGAGCACGCAAGTCAGGTCTGCCCTCCCTGCCTGCAGCCCTCCAGGGCTCCCACCTACCTGGGGGGAAAGCCCAAGTCCTCCCTGAGGCCCCCACAGCCCTGCACCACCTCCCCTCCCCTCCCCTCATCCCCGTTCCTCACTCTGCCCCAGCCCCTTACACAGACACCGTCTTGCCCCAGGACCTTTGCATCGGCTGTGCCCTCTGCCTACTCTGCTCCTCCCATTCGGGACACCGGCACTCCGTCTCCTTCAAGCGTTTGCTCCAGGGTCACCTTCTCAGCAGGCCTTCCCACTCCCAGCCCTGCCTCACGCCCCCCTGGGCTGCTCGGACCGTCCCGCCCCCTGCCCGGCCCTCACTCCCAGCACTGCTGCTCGCCAGGCTCCCACCACCCCGAGGGCAGGCTTGTCTGTGTCCTTCTCCGCTAGCTCCCTGGCGCCCGCAACCGCACTTGGCAAGAAGGTGATGGATAAGTAGCCGTTGAATGAATAACCGTGTTCTGGTTGCTTCCTGGCCCCCCCCCCCCCCCCCCCCCCCCCCCCCCGCTAAGCTGCAGACGCGGCCCTGGCCTCCCGCCAGTCACATCTGCACAGGCAGAAAGTCCTGCCGGCACCCAGGGGGCAGGGGCCAGGTGGCGCAGGGCGGGCAGGAGAGGAGCCGGGCCTCTGCTCCCACGGCGCCCACGTGCGGCCCAGGCCCCGGGAGGCCGGAGGCCGGGTGTGCCTGGCATAGGACAGGCCCTTCGGGGTGGAAGTGACTGGCCTGGAAAGTGCTGGAAAGGCCCCTGGGCTCCCCTAAGGCAGGCAGGGACCCGGGAGCAGGGGGAGGGGCCTCAGAGGGGCTGGGGGAGGAGCTCCGGTGTGGGGGGGGCTCCATCAGGTCGCCCCCCTCTGCCCCCAGCACTCCAGGGCTCCCACCTCCTTCGGCCCCACAGGGGCCCCCACCACGTGCCCCTGTCATAGCTCCTGTTTCTCCTGCCCTTCGAGGAGGGACGGCCGCACCCCAGCTGGCTCACCTGCTTGTGATGTTCCTGGAGGCCTTGCCGGATCTTCTGCAGCTGCAAGGGAACAGCAGGGGTCGCACAGGGTGGGCGTGGCCAACGGAAGTGGACCACAGTGAGGAATGCTGTGCCTGCTTCTCCCCAACTGTGTGGCCCCGGACAACGCGCTCTACCTCTCTGGTCACTAAACCCATCAAATGGGACACCACCTACCACACAGAGTGGGAGCTAATTAGGGAGACCCTTGGATTTCATTCCTAAAGTAAAGTTCAAAGACTCCCCATAACCACAAGGCAGGCCCTGCACACGTGTCCCTGCCTCCTCTCTACCCTCCTCCCTCACTCTCCCTGCTCCAGCCACATGGGCCTCCTGGCTTTTCCTCCCACACTCCAGGCCCGTTCCTGCCCCAGGGCCTTTGCACGGGCTGCACCCTCTGCCTGGAATGCCCTTCTCTGTTCTCGGGAGTGCAAAGCTTCTTATCTTCCATACCTCGCTGTGAACATCACTTCCTCCAAGGAGCCCTTCCTGATTATCTTAGCTCAAAATCTTTACTCCTGTCCATCTTACACTCTTACATCTCTATAGTGGTTACAGCCTGTGAATCCCATTTCTCCATTCACTTATCTTCTCCGCCTAGAGGTGCCCCGTCCCAGGAGCTAGCCATGAGTCAAGGCTGTAAATTTAATCAAGTTAAGGATTCAGTTCCTTACAAGTTTTCAACGGGCCACGTGTGGCTGGCAGGGTGCCATATTGGGCATTGCTTATATAGAACATTCTCATCATCGAGGAAAGTTCTAGATGCCAGCACCATACTAGCACCTACCCTCCCCAGGAGCAGGGGATCCCGTCACCTATCCTTCAATGATGAACTGTCAGCCAAAGAAACACCTCCTTCACACATGGAATTTCTACCAGAAGGTGTCCCAAACCCAGCTGTCCCGGCTGTCTGGGGGCCGCGGGGTGTGGCTCACCGCGTGGTACGTGCTTTCCACCTGCGCCGTCAGGTGAAGGGGGAGTCTGAGGGGGAGAGAACCTTCCGTAAGAGGAGCCCTCAAGCCCTGCCCCCGGCCCGGAGTCCCTGGAGGCCGCGTCAGAGATGCGACTTCACTGCAGTATTTCAACAATATAATCGAGGCAAGTACATTCGGGCTAAACACAACTCGAAAACGCAAATGAAGACCAGGATCAGCATTGCTGGTTTTCCGTTTGCTTCAGGCTCCAATGAGGCTCCCCGTGGCCTTTACTAATTCTGGTTTTGGAGCCAGGGGCCCCGGGGGCGGGCACCGAGAGACCAGATGGGACATCTCTCCCTCTGGGGGGACCACAGCGGGACAGTGGCCGTCACCTGGGAAACTGCTGCCGGAGCTGATCCAGGATGTCCGGGGAGTTCAGCCCAGGAGGAGCCTGGGGAAGGGGAGAGGAGGCTGTAGATGAACCAGAGCCCCCCCCTCCCAAGGCCACATCTCCAGTCAGGCCCCCCACACACACCAGGGAGTGAGCTGGAGCCTCCTAAATCCTGAAGGAAATTCACTTTCTCTGGTTACTTAAGCGCCCCCCCCCAGTATCTTCCATCTTGCATATTAGCCTAAAGCCCCAAACCCCACTCCTTGAGGGAGAAGGTTTGCCCATCTTGGGCCTAAACTGTTGAAAAGGCTCATCTGGAGGAGGGGCTTCTACTTGTAAGATATGACCCAGAAATGCTGCAGTCACGGGATGTATCACCTGGGGGCTGAGAAGCAAGTGTGACTTACTAAGTGCCTTGGCACCTGTTAGGGTTAGCGCCCCGGCCAGAGGCCTGGCCACCTGCCCGCCTCCCTCCATCAGCCAGGTCTGAGCCCAGCTGCGGCAAATAACCACCCGCAGGGGTTAATGCCTCACCAGGCCCTCCTCACCAAAGTTCCGGGGGGCCTCCTCATCCCTTGAGGGTGCTCCTGGGGGCTGAGATGGCCCCAAGAGGTCATCTTCCGGGCAGGAGTCACACGGACTTTAGCCAGGCGACTCTAAAAGTAACAAAGTGATGGCAAGTCCTGAGGGCGGAAGGCCCAGCGGCCAGGGACAGAACCAGCTCCCCCCACCCCCATCCTGTCTTCCCACCAGGACCCAGCCCTGCGTCCCCATCACCTCCTGGACCTCGAGCACCGCACTGCATGCCCTATATCCTGGGAGGGAGAGGGTGTCAAACACTTACACCCCTCACCAGCTGCTGCCAGGGCTGGGGGACCCCAGCGAAGGACGCTTAAATTCAACCTCAGTTTTGAGGCAACTTCCGAGAGTACTGGTGAACATCACTGGGAAGGGGTTTTGAAGGATGAGTAAGAGTTGGCCAGGGGAATTAGGAGGTCTCAGACAGGAGGAAAGGGACCGCTCTCCACCCCAGTCACTCCTGTGGCACCAAGCACCCTTTTTTACTTGGCTTGTGCCCCTCATCAGTCTTCCAGCCTCCTCCCCAGGCCGGGGACTCTGGGGTCCTCCGGGAGACCCGCCTGCCCACTCACCTCCCTTAGGATGGAGGCCCAGGACAGGAAGAAGGAAACTAGGTGGGGGAAGGGGGGCAGCGAAGTCCAGGCTGGGAACGGGCGCCCCTCCGATCCTCCCCCTCATCCCGGGGCCCTTTGACCCCTCGGGCCCCGCCCCGGCCCGCCCCGGCCCCGCCCCGGCCCCGCCCCGCCGGCCGCCACCTGCACCCCGAGGACGATCAATGAACGAGCAGCAGCTGCACGTGGGCTCGGACTCCGCGGGCGGCCGTTGCAGGCTCTGGCCAATCACGAGGCCGCTTGCCCACGTGGGCCGCGGCCGCTACCGTTGATTGGTCGACTCGCCCGAGCCGCCGGCCGGGCTGTCAATCAGCGCGCCCGGCGCCGTCGCTTAACCCTCGCGGTGCCGCTGGGGGGGAGGGGAGGGCAGCGTGCAGAGCCGCGGGCAGTTTGGGGTCCAGGCCGGGGTGAGGATATTTAGAAAGGCCCGCGGCTTGGGGTCAGAGGGTGCAACCTGGGAAGGAGCTGGGCGGCGTGTGTTGCATTGTTTAGAGAGGAGCCTGATGATTTTTATCCATGCCCAGGGGTGGCTTGGGGCTAGGGGTGGGCCTGGGAATGGGGGCCTAATCTCTAGCACTCATTCCAGCCCTTACGCAGGGGCCGATATTTCCCTCAATATTAATAACGTGCAGTGCGAATGAAGGACGCTTCAAGCCCCCTTAATGGGGAAAACATAACAGGTCTCTCATCCAGCACCAAGCTCCTGGGCTCTGTATTTTTGTCAGTGAATTTTCCAAACTGTCCCCTGCCCCCCTCCCCCGCCCCACCCCAGCCCAGCATCTGAGAACCAAAAGCAGGAACTGCAAAGGCCCTGAGCCAGTGCAATTTTTCCAGGTTAAAGGACAGGGTAGGAAGGGGTGGCGGGTATCCCAGGCCTGGGATGGTAGAAAGATAAGGGGTGAGGGTTGTAGGAAGGCGGCCAGAGTTCTGTTTTGGCCCAGTTTGCTAATGCCTACTGGAGGTGTGCCGTAGTCTCGCCTACCCCAGGACATTTGCACTAACCGTTCTCCTCTCTGCCAGGAATAGTCTCCCCCTGACATCCACCCAGACCTCTAGGCCTCCCCTCACATCACTTTAAGAAATGAACTTCCGGGGGGGGGTGCCTGGGTGGCTCAGTCGGTTAAGTGTCCGGCTTCGGCTCAGGTCATGATCTCACTACTCGTGGGTTCGTGCCCCGCGTCAGGCTTTGTGCTGACAGTTGGCTCAGAGCCTGGAGCCTGTTCCCGATTCTGTGTCTCCCTCTCTCTCTGACCTTCCCCTGCTCACGCTCTCTCTCTCTCTCTCAGAAATAAATAAAACATTTAAAAAAAAAAAGAAAGAAAGAAATGAACTTCTACCACCACCACCCCCATTCTCCATTTCTTATTTAATTTTTTTCCAAACGTGGTTTGAATTGGCACTAATCTTTAATCTCAGCGGCTGTAGGTCATGCTGTGTTCAAAATTCACATAACTGATAGGATTGTCAGGCATTCTTGCACAGGCCACGGGGCATCTGGGTAGGTGTGCGGGCCTGGGATGCAAAGCTGTGAGTGAGTGAGTGAGTGAGTGAGTGAGAGAGCACTCCGCTTGCCCATCTTCTGTGCTCTGTCTGGGGGTGGGGGTGGGGTGGGCACACTGGGGTTCAGACCCTGGGATGCGCCTCCCCACAGGTTCTAACGTAAACACAAAACTTGGGGTTTGCGGCTGGCCTGTGGAGGAGAAAGTGAGGGCTGCCGTGTACAAGCCGCAGAAAAGGTTTTCACCCGTGATCCCTAACTGGCCCTTAATTGAAGCGGATTTTATTTATGGGCCAGTCGGCTAATTGCCTCCCCTGTGCTTGGCTTGCCTCCTCTCCGTGGTTGCCGGCGCACCAGTGTGTCCATTGCTGGCTGTCTCGTCCGGTATCCACCGGGTACCTGTGGCTACTTAAATTAAAACAAATTAAAATTAAATAGGATTTAAAACTCCATTCCTCAGGCTCACTGTCCGCGTGTCAATCGCTTCGCAACCACCAGTGGCTGGGGATGACCATCCACACTGGACGGTGCAAATCTAGAACATTCCCATCCTGGCAGAGCGTTCCAGTGGACAGTGCAGATCTGAGGTCCTTAAAAGAGAAAGTCCCCTAGGTCCACGCAGAGGTCGGACGCCGCCACGGCATCTGCTCTGCTCTCGCCCGTGGACGCCCCGCGTGCCGGTGGCTGGTGGCTGGGCTTCCGGCTGGCCTGTGCTCACCCCGCCCTTCCGTCTGCTGTCCCCTGCTTGCCCCAGGCTGGCTGGCAGGGATGCAGGCTTCCCTGAGCCCCCTGGAAGGGCGCCGGGCACAGAGGAGGGGCTGGGGAGGCCGCAAGGAGTTCCCTCTTGGCTTCTGAGTTGTGGTCGACTTGGAAACCCCAGGTCTGGATGAAAGCTGGACAGAAAAGGGGTTTGCATTTCCGAAGCTTTGGAAGCCACTTCAAACCCAGGCCCCCAGAGGCCCAGGGTTACTTGGGTTGGGGGAAGACCAGGCAGAAGCCCTCGGTGACCACAGGGAGGTGACAGCAGGGAGGTGGCGCTGGATTTCAGCCCTGGGCCTCCATTTTCTCCCCCATTCCCAGGACAACCCAGTGCCCCCCCCCCCCACCCCCCCCCCCCCCCCATGGGCAAGAGACAGTAGCCAAGTGACAGAGGTGAAGGAGCAGATGCAGGAAGCCAGTGGGTAGAAGGACCCTGGTGTCCAGCCACTGGATGAACGACTGAGAGGCAGGGACAGGGACCCTCCCCAGACCGTGGCTGGGGCCCGTGATACTGGAGGGGAGGATACTCTCAGCTGCCCCTCTCTGACGCCACACGAACGCCCTTGAACTTAGACCTGGCCCCAGGAAAAGTGAATTGATTGAATTACCCAGCATTGATTGAAGTTTGCCTCCTGCCATCTGGTGGAGAGACGCTTGTGTTCATTTCCGGGGCTGCTCTAACAGGCGGCCACAAGCCCGGGGCCTAACGCAGCAGAAATCTGTTCCATCGTGTTCTGGAGGCCAGGAGTCCCAAATCAACGTGTCCGTCGCGCTGTGCTCCCTGTGGAGGCGGGGGGGGGGTGGTGAGGGGATTCTTCTTGCTCTTCTGAGTCTAGAGTGGCCCCTCTGCTTCCGTGTCCCTGGGCGTGTAGACCCCTCTCTCCAGTCTTTGTGTCTCTCCTCACACGTTCGGCTTCCTGTTCCACATGTTCTCACTGTGTGTGTCTGGGTCCCAATCCCCCTCTTATAAGGACACCGGTCATGGGATTTAGGGCCACCCTACTCCAGTAGGGCCTCATGTTAAATAGTTACACCTGAAATCATCCTATTTCCAAATAAGGTCACATTCCCAGAGACTAGGAGATTAGGACACAAGAGAAACTCAAACAGTATTTTTTAAAATGTTTTATTTACTTCTGAGAGAAAGAGAGAGAGAAAGAGCATGAGCAGGGGAGGGTCAGGGAGAGAGGGAGACACAGAATCTGAAACAGGCTCCAGGCTCTGAGCTGTCAGCACAGAGCCCGACACGGGACTCGAACCCACGAACTGTGAGATCATGACCTGAGCTGAAGTCAGATTCTCAACCGACTGAGCCACCCAGGCGCCCCAGGACGTGAAAGAAATTTTTTGAAGGACACAGTTCTATTCTCTACAAGCTCAGAAGAGAAATTAAGTAGATAAAGTAACCCATTCAGTCCTCCATGAATCCAGAGAGGTTAACTGACCTCCCCAGAGTCACACAGTCATTAAGTGACTAAGCCAGTATTGGAACCCGGGTCACCTTGCTATGAGAAGTATCCATGTAACCCTGACACCATAATGCCTAGGTCTAAGTAAGTTCCTGCCATTGCACAGGACCTGAGTATGGAGAAAGGTGCATCCATTCCAGAAGTGGATTTTGGATCTCCTGGACCTGGCTCTTGCTTCCAATGAAATCCGGATGTATTAGTTAGCTACCGCTGCATAACAAACTGTCCCCCAAATTAGTGGCTTAAACAATGCTTAAAAAAATAGCATTTATCATCTCACACAGGCTCTGGTGGTCAGGAATCTGGGGTGGTTTTGCTGGATCATAGTTGGCAGCTGATGTGCCAGCTTCCCTCCCCCCTCTCTGGCCAACATGGTCTGCCATCCAGTCGATCTGAAAATCTCCGTGGGGCCCCATCACGCTCCTGTGTCCCTAATCCTACTCACCACCCAGTGCTTTGTTTTTGGTTTACTTAATTCTTCTTCTTTTTAAAATTTTTATTGTATCCCAAAGTTGTGTTAAGCCTTTATTTTTTCAAACGTTTATTTTTGAGAGAGAGACAGAGCATGAGCAGGGCAAGGGGCAGAGAGAGAGGGAGACACAGAATCCGAACCAAGTTCCAGGCTCTGGGCCCAACATGGGGCCCGAACTCACAATCCTGGAGATCACGACCTGAGTGCACGCTAAGATCGGACGCCTAAACGCCTGAGCCACCAGGGGCCCCTACTTGCTTCTCTGACCTGTTCGTGGGTGGCCCACGGCATGGCTGAGTGCGGAACATCACTCCACCCGCGTGTCTTTTTTGTGTTCTTTTCCTTCGAATGTCTGGGTCTCAGTTTTGGGCTCCAAGGTGGCTTCTCCTCCTTCTCCTCCACCTTGGACCCGCTTCCCCATCGGGGCTGCTGCTAGGGGTGTCCTTCGACCGTCAAGCCCAGAGGACTTGGGGGGGAGATGTGACCGGATGAGGCCCCAGTGTCACCGCTCCTTGTGTCGTAGTAAGGACTTGCCTGTCCAAGTGTGACCGTGGCTGGTTAACTGAGCGCCGGGCCGCTGAGGGCTTCTCGGCAGAGGCACAGGTGGCCAGTTGTTCATTCCAGCGACGTCCCCCCAGTGAAGGCGGCGGCCTCGCCCCAGTGAGCCTCCCGAAGGCAGGGAGAGGCTGCAACCGCCCTCCGGAGGCGCCAGTCGTTGCTTTTAAGAGGTGGGAAGGGGGGCGCCTGGGTGGCTCAGTCGTTAAGCGTCAGACCGGCTCAGGTCATGATCTCATGGTTTGTGGGTTCGAGCCCCGCGTCGGGCTCTGTGCTGACAGCTCAGAGCCTGGAGTTGCTTCACATTCTGTGACTCCCTCTCTCTGACCCTCCCCTGCTCATGCTGTCTCTCTCTCCTAGAAATAAATAAAACATTAAAAAAAAATTAAAAAAAATTTTTTTAAGTTTCCCT